AGAAGAAGAAGAAGAAGAAGAAGAAGAAGAAGAAGAAGAAGAAGAAGTTTCTCTTTTTCTTCCTATCTACTGGAAATGCTAGATGTTTGTAATAAGATAAAGTCACAATCATTTGGTAAAGTCCTAAGATAGATATTATCACTTTTAATTTCCAAAATAACTCTAATTCAGAGAAAAATACATATGAATTGTGAGTTGCCTACATTTTAGACAGAGGTGTCACTGGTGGTAAACAAACACACTACCTCCGATTTCACAATTTTATCAGCAAACATACTTTGAGATCTGCGTGTACCTTTTTCAATGCTATTTCCCTTCTGCAAGTTGTAGTTGTAGTTTGTTTGTTGTTGTTTTTGGACAAGCTTTAAATTTTTTTAATCTTTACTTGATCATTTGATGAATTCAAGAAAAAATTTTTTTTTTATTATTTTTTTATATTTGCTGAAATTATTCCATTTTTGAGTCTTATACTAAAACATTAAAATATTAACTAATTAATTTGTTTTGAAAATATAAATAAATTATGTAAATTGTTACAATAAATTAAAACATGTTTTCATCAATTTTTTATTGAATCTATAAGCTTCAATAAAAAAGAAAATATTCGAAACTGAGTGTATTTATTCTAAAATCCATTTAAATTGCCACAGCAGACTCTCGCCTATGCGTCATCCACAACGGCGGCATGTGCAAGACATGTACAAACATTTTCTTGCCTCTTTTGCCTTCCTTCACTCATGACTTGCCAATCTGATAGTTAGTGGTAATATTGTTAGTACTAATTTTCTGACCTCTGCGCCCTTCCTTCACGCATGACTTGACCCTAATCTTATTGTTAGGTGCAGTCAGCATTACCAACTAATTACGACTTTAGTTATCATAAATTTAAATATACAACACAAGTAAAATGAATACAAATTGTTTTTACTGTGCTATATTTTTTCTCTCTTCTTGTATTTACAAGATGGGGCCCCTTACCATCATCAAAGATGTGGTACAAACAGACCTGACCCTTTAAATGATAAAATAATTGAGAAAATTATGATAAACATTCCTTGGAATACAACTTTTAATGAATTAGTTAAGCAAAGAAATAAAAATATTAAACCTCTTTACTTTTTAATAGTCTTAAATATGCTGATGTTTAAGACAATTAAATAATATAATAATTTTAATATCTGCAATTCAGGTTGGAACTAAAGATTCACATGCCACTAAAAAGAATCTTCAATAGCAACAATGACATTTGAAAGCAATGCCACAACGAATGTTATTTTAGATCAACATTGTTCAAAATCATGGTTCTCTGATGAGCACCTGTGTTATTTTAAAACAGTGTAACTGACATATCACATAATACAAGTGTACACGCTTTTTCATGACCTGTATATTTCTGTAGAATATATGTGAGCAAATCCCTCCACTGCGTTAATCATCATCATTTGATAGAAGCATGCAAATGCTTCCTTCCAGATTTGGCATATTTGAACTTGCTACAGTGGAATTTTCTAGGATCAGTTTCACTTTCTTTACTAATTTTCATTTTGACAAATATTCTATTAAGAGAAACTAGCAAAGAAAGTTTGTATTTTCTAAATACAAAACAATATTTTCAAAAGCTTGGGAACTTGAGATACTTGAGTGCAAAGCGTGGGTGTATTGCCGAAGTTTTTATAAATAAAGTAATTTTTAATATTAATGTATGAGTAAAACATTTAAAATTAGAATAAAAAGTTATCTACAGATCATAAAGAAAAAATACGTGCAGTTATGAAATTTTTAAAAACCATTGTAGGACTTAAGTGAAGTCCATGAATCTTATGAATATTACTTATGTTACTTTTATGTTCTTATTATTTATTAATGAGATTATGAGTCTTTTTAGGGTTATGGGAGATTATGAGAATTTTTAGGATTCTTTTTCTCAAAAAAAAATTCAGTGCATGTTCGTTAAATTTCAATCTGATCAAATATGTATGTTTTACATACTCTGTAGCAAATTTGTAATATTTGCACTCATAACAAATATTTTCACAAATATAAGACACCATGTCAAAAATTTCAAGACACCATTTGTCTTTATTTTGGTATATCTTAATAAATCTGGTACAACACTTTTCTGTTCGTATTGCAGCTTTCTGTATTAAGTTCAGAATATCTGCTAAAGTAAGTTCTGACAAAAAAGATCTCTTTCCGAACAAGCTTTAAAGTTTTACAAATGTGGAAAAGCGACCTAGAAAAGCAACTAACTGCTCACTAAAAGGCCCAAAAATATGATAAACATCAAAACGCATTACTAACAATACTTGCTACCTCGGAAATGAAACTTCCTTACAAATATCAACAAAATCACTGTCTTCATGATGAATTAGTTCCAAAAATATGTTCATTAAAAAATTTGCGAGTCAAACTTAGCAGCCATTTTGACAAGTGCAGATATTTAAATAAACACTTATAAAATTAGATCCTGTTGCAACATTCACCATAAATTATAAATCAAATTGTTCAGATATTTCTAAAAATTTAAATCCAACTATAAATCAAAAATGTCAAAATTTGTAGATTTTTCACATTGACTCCCCTTAATTTAATCGAAACCAACTATTTATAATGGGCAATCCTTTGCAATAATATTGTTATATCGTTACATTATAAAAAAGTTTTATAAGTCTATTATCAATTACAAGTGCACCATTATGTTGCTTAATGTAAAATTAAGTTACACACAGCTGTAAAATCCAAATAAGATTGCTAATAACCCAGTCGCCAATGCAACCGTAAGTAAATGGATAAAAAAACCTCTTAATTTTTTTCTTTCTCTATTTTGATCCTTGCTTTAGAAAGTGTATGCTAGCACTTCCTCATGTGGCATGATTACAATAAAACTAGCCACTACACAAGCTACTCAGCATGCACCATCTATCCATTTGAGAGGTTAAGGAAAAGATTTCAAATACTTATCGAGAATTGAACAAATTTATTGCAATGAACAAATTTAGAAAGTATTTTCAAAATCAATGGTGACATGAAAAATTCTGGTCCTTTAGTGAGAAAATTATTTTCAGGAATAAGCTCCTCATGACATGATGTTCTGGCAAAAATAATATATTAAGAGAAGAGGATTTCAGAAATATTGCTTCCAGAAAAGATCCCTTATTATAAATGAATAAATTGAGAAAAATGAAACATGCAGGGATTTTTTTAACAGCATTAACCATAAGTAATCTGAACATGCAACAAGCTAGAGTGCCCCAAATGTTATATCGATAGAATTAGCAGTTATGCCTGCAATGAATGTAGACAAACAGACCTAGGAAAAGATGATAAGCAATACCGTGTTAGTGAAAAAAAAAAAAAAGAAATCGAGGATAAGGCATCATAACAAGGTAATTTCTATTTAATGGGTGCTGAGAAGGGATACAGTCATATGAGGCAAATACCTCTCCAAGAACATTAGGTACTGATACCTAACTAACTATTCCCAGAAATCAACACTTATAGGTATCTTCAACATGCCGATAAAAGATCTCAATATAAAAGATCAAAGATAAATAATATCTCAATAATGTGTAACTTTAGCCTTAGAATACACTTTTTACATAAAAGTTTTAAAAATGAATCTTAAAATTTAAAACATAATAAGGAAACAAGTAGGCTAATACTATTCAGGTTTTTTGACCAGAGTTCAGGGAGTTCAAAAAATCAAATGCTGGGACAGTCCCTTGTTTTTTTTTCATGAATGTAAACCACAGCTTTCATCACCCATCCCAAATACCGCCTGACATCAATATGGTCTACTACAAAATCAGACAAAACAACCACTCATCCGAGTTTCATCCAGCATAAGTCAATCAGTCTTAGGCACATCAGGTGAAAGAAATGTCCTCTGCATAAAAATGTGAAGTGTAAAATCAAATAATAATTACAATAAAATAATCATAATAATCATATTAATAAAAGCCAGATCAAATACTTAAAATAATTCATTTATCAATTCCTTCAAATGCAAAACAAGGGAGCAGCAACAGGGTTTACTTTTGAGTAACACATATATTATTACAAATATGCAGAGATGAATAACTTTAAGAGTAAAAGGTAATTTTTATCTACCTTGGAGAGAAGGTTGGGGGACATAGAAAGTTGTAGCAGGCAAAGTAGAATTTTTTTTATTCATCTGAAGCTACAGAAGCTAACTCAGAGGAATATGAAAATGAAATTTTGGTCATATACTTACAATGCTTTACCCTTTAGCAAGAAGTGGAGCAAACTTTTCTGTGAAATGGATGTGAAATGAAAGCATGAAATAGCAGGTGGAGGCAAATCAACACTTCAGGAACCATTTCACAAATGGTGATATGCGTATTCAAATTATGAATTTCTACAAACGGTGGTTTCCAGGTTATATCCATTATTTTGCCAGAACAATGTATACGTTAAACAAATCCAAAATAGAAATTAAACTAAATTTTATGAAATATCTGACAGTGTGGTTCTCAACCACTGCGCTGCGGACACACTACTTTGCTACAAAAATTCATACAGAAAATAACACATTAATTAAATTACTCTAATTAAATATAAATTGCTTGCTGAAAATGAATTTTAAGAAATGAGGTTCCGATTTAATATATAGAATTTCTCCAAATTTTAATTTTTGATAGGCATTCAGGTATCGTCGCATGAAGTGTCAAACAATGTCTTACATTTTGAAAGAATTTGATGACAACTGGTTCATTACTCCACTAAAAGGATTTACTCAAAGGACTAAAAACTTATAAAAATAAAAATATAAAAAGTACAAAATCTATATAAGAAACAACTCTAAAAAGTCAAGAATTTTAAATGATACATCAAAATTACAGTAAGTAATTTGGTACGACATTAACTCTGTCTACTTGTATAAAAAATTAAGTCCCCAACTAATAGTTATATACTCTGAAATACACGAACATTTAAGTTCAGAAATTAGTCTTGGTTAACAAATTCTAATATGAATATTTTAATATCTGAAACGTGTGTCAGAAGTCTAAAAGGGTTGAAAACCACTGATTTAGTGAAGATAGTAATACAGTCTAAGAAGAAAGTATTTTTAATAACATTCCCAAAAGGTCAACGAATGTGAGGAAAATCAGAAAAAGAAGTGGAATAAATAGATCTCTCACCTTTTTCCCCTGTCGCTTCCCAAAAAAGAAAGCTTTCACTAAGCTAAGTGTAAATGCAAGCAGCACATCCCTGCAAGTATCTGAACACTTGAAAGGAAGAAAAAATAATTTCTTCTTATCATGCAACCCAAAGAAAGTCGACATGGTATATAACATGCTCATCCATGCCTCATTATATCTCAAGAATAACCCCCAATTGATGTAATATGAAGCAGCTGTTTATATTTTCTTTTACTGCTTGCAGGAGATGTGCAGTGAAACTTCAATAATTTGTACAGTGCCCTTTACATTTAGCAAGTGCTAGTCTGCCCTATCTTGCACGCAATACCAGTACTTATGAAAAATAAGCAACTTCAATAAATTGATAAAAGAAGCTGATGATAACAGAGTAAAAAATCACCATTCTATAATCTTCAAACCAAATAATATTTAACTTAAAATTATTTGAATTTTCAAAATTTTGAGTTAAAGTTTTAGTGAAACTAATATCTTTCTTTAAACATTTCTTTGATTGTTTAACAAAAATTTAGAATACATAATTAAACATATTTTAACTTAGTTTGAACACAAAATTCAAGAGGGCCTTTGCATCTTGCTTGATGATAAGAGAGCACATGTAGTAACAACTGTGGTAATGCAAGCACACCTGAATTCAATTCACGCACAAGCGTTGACATGGCATTGGTGACGGAGTCGGCAGCAACAAGGAGGTCATTGCGCAGACTGCGGCTACTGCTATTTGTAGTACCAGTATTGCTTGCTGAACCCGCTAACGATGATGTTGAGGATCCTATAAAATAATTTTTTTTTATAGAACGTATCTATTAGAATATACGTTGGGTTACACACAACTGAACATTGCATAGCTCAAGAAGACAATGTCATTCAAAAAATTCTGTAACTTATAAGGTAAGAAAAAATAACTAACACACCAAATGAGTGCTGAAAGAAGTTCACAACTTCACAATTCTGAAATAGCAAATTAAAAGTGCAAAAGGGAAAACAACATTTCTTCTCACTTACCAATCATTCCAGATGTCCCAAATGCTGACCTGACATCTCCCCCCACTCCAGACAAGGAGTCTGTTCCAGATCCTAAAGAGGTCATCATAGAGGGCTGCAACGGGGCTCCCGGAGTTGGAGGTGCAGAGCGAGAGGAAGGAGTGCTGGTTGGAAGAGGAGGGCTCTTTGTAGACCTCGGTGAGGAGTTTGGCGTTGACCTTGGTGATGCCTGATGATTCTGAGGTCAAAAGAAAGATTAGTTGCTTTTGGAACCTTGTTTCAATAAGTTCTACAATGGGTACATTCTAATCATTCTCAATGGAGTTTGTAGTGGACAAAGTAAGATCTCATGGAGTTTTCTTGGGGTTTTCCTTTTTTCTTCCCTATTCATCTATTGCTCCTTTATAATAATAGTTCTCTTTTCCCCTCCCCCTTATAGACCATAGAGACTCAAACACAGGAATTGTAATGCTCATTCGCTGTAACAGTGGCACAAGAGCTGAATTTTTAAAAGACACATTTCAATTTTCAAGTTAGCAAATGAAATATAGTGTTGCAGGTTATTGTAAATTAACAACACACAACCATGCAATCCCTCATTCTCTAATATGTCCCCATTCCCAATCCTTGTGGAAGAGAAACAGGCTCTTCACCCACCATTCAATCGTTCATCTCTCGCTGATCTAGAAAAAAATGTCCATCTAGTGTCAAAGATAGGTCCAGGTAAAACTAAGTGCTTTTGGGCCATAAAAAGAAGAAACATATCAATTATGATTTTTTTGAAGTAACATTTTTTTAAATTTCCTAGTTCAAAACATTGGTCTCATGACTTAAGAGACCACCAAGAATTCCTAAGAAAAGGAAATTTGAAAACACATCATTGTTGATTATAGAATAATTATTTATAAAATATCTTAATATTGAACACTGAAAGCAAGAAATATAAACTACATTGGAAACAAAGTACTGTAGAACCAATAGAGGTTCCAGTGTAATGACAGGGAAAGGGGGCAGGTGCATATAAAACACCGGATAGTAGACAATATTTTTTTATTGTTTCCAGGGTGTAACTGACATAATTTGTTGGTTTGCAATTAATTATAATTAATTTTAAATATTTATCATCACATTGCCCTAAGATTATTGGATTCCCAGATTATTGAAATTCAAATAACAGCTTCATAAAAAAATTATAAATTTGATGAATGTTCATTTCTTCAAATAATTTTAATTTGTACAGAAAACAACAAAATGTTTATTTCCCTTGACATAGTGGGAAGCAAATTAAAATCAATCTTATTTGCTCTGATTATGCTGTAATCTTGCATTGTTACCACAGTGTGCACATCATCCCTGAGAGACTACAAATGAGGTAATGCCCTTCAGTCTTCCACAGGAGATAGGACAGTGATCTTTTGGGCCTGACGTCTAGAGGGTCATCTTTCTACAAAGAATTTGCAAAAGCATTATCAATAATTTGATATATATGACTCTGTAACCTGTATATAGAATCCAAAAATGAAGATTCTTCAAAAATAAATTTACAGAATATACAACAAAATGGAGAAGATTCAATTTACAGAAGATACTGTTGATTCGAGGAGCAGCTGCTCACTGCAAAAACTGAACTACTTCAGGTAGTAAGAAGTAGCCAACATTCCCTCTCGGGAACAATGTTGGGCATTGTAGCATTTCAATGTGGATGAATGGAATGAAAATTCCATCTATATTTGATTCTTATATGATCCAATATATGATTCTTGAGTACGGAAAAACCTGTTTGATCTACTATGGCTTCCGATTTACATTTTTGTAGGCATGATATTGCATGCAGTGTCCTTCCTGTGGTTATTAAAAATTTAAGATTATCTAGGAATTACAATTATTTCTTATTTCTACTATCGTAAATATCGATGAACACAGAAAACATGATCCTCATGAGGTATATCATTGGTTGCATCAGAGCAATGGACAAAATTGGAAATAAAGACATAAGAAAGAATTGGAAATCAGAAATACTGTAGGAGATAAGCTAAAATGCTATAATGGATTATGGCATTTTAGCTTATCTCCTACAGTATTTCTGATTTCCAATTCTTTCTTATGTCTTTATTTCCAATTTTGTCCATTGCTCTGATGCAACCACTGATATACTGGCTAGAAAACTAAAATAGAATGAGAATTTTTCTAGCACCCCTTTTACTACACACCTCATGGTAGAAGACCAATAGGAAGATCGAAATGCAACTTCGTCAGAAGAGGCTAGATGAGCCTAATCCATGCTGATGATGATAATGATGATGTTGATATTGATACAAAAATTACACAAAAAATGTATTCATGCCCTTTCATTATATCAAATTTATTTCAGCCAGATCAATGCAACAACTTGTTATCTGGAAGGAGGAAGACACCATATGATAGGCATGAACATTCAGTTGGTTGTTCATCAGACATGTCATATGATCATGTTTCAGATCTTTATGGCAGAATGCAAGGGTATGCCTTGTGGGCAGCATAGAGAAACAAATGCATTCCGGCCCCCAGAAGCCACCAACTGTAACTCAACAGGCTTTTGCCCAATGAAATATTTGCCAGTAAATCAAGAGAAAGAGAAAAGGAGTGAGGAAGAGAAGGAGGGGGAGAGGAAGAGTGGGAGGAGGAGAGGAGGAGAGGGAGGAGGAGAGGTAGAGAGGGAGGAGGAGAGGTAGAGAGAAGGATGGAGGGAGAGGGAACAAGAGAGAAAGGAAGAGAGGGGAGAGAGGGAGGGAGGTTTTAGTGTGTGAAGTGAGAAAGAGGGATGGGACAAGAGAAGAAAAAATTAAAAATAAACACAAAAACAAAAGGCAATTACACAAAACTCAGTTAGTCTTTAACCTTAAGTAACTTCATTAGTCCTTCAAGCTGCACCATCAGCTGTCGGCGTGAATCTTGCAAGGCCCCCAAATGGCTCTCAAGCTCATCTTTCCGCTGTCGAAGAGCCCTCAACTCAGCCATTAGCGCCGGGTTCTCCTCTCCGCTACCTCCATCTCCAGGCCCCATTCCTGCGGCCTCCAGCTCCTGCTGCCGCCTGTGCAAAGTTTTGGCAATTTGAAGCCATCCTAGCAATTGCATGTGAGTCCACATAATTCACATAAACTTATCAAAGCACCATTTTGTGCACTACATAAGTAGTAATTAAGGTAAATGTGATAAATGTGAAGCAACAAATGTCAATTATTTTGGGCTCTGGGCAAAGTTCAAAAATGAAATGCAGTACATGAAGAATGTTAACAAATCAATTTTTAAATGAACAGAAAACCATTCTGTTTAATTAAGATTTATGAAAATTTAATAATACAATTGCAAGCTTTATAGCAACCACCTTAGTTTCTTTACTCTCTCATCTCTTCATTGGTTCTCAAGAAAGACAGAAAGTGCCTACTATGCTGAGGCGTAAAGAAATGAATATTTAAAATTCATTTTAAAAAAATGACAAGACATAGGCAATAATTTTGTGCATTTTGTTTCAGAACAATGTTCTTCATAAATAGATATTTTCAACTTCTTTGACAAAAAATTCCATGACACACATTTCATCCCACATTGCACCATCTGAGAGCCACTCACTGAAGATAACAATGGGAATGCAAACAGAATGTTTGAAAATATTAAAATATTAAACAGGGTCTAATCTACATCTCACTACAAACCTGTATTACTGTCACTCTTTCCGACTACACGCAAAGTTGACAGTAATACTATACATAAGTATGCACATTTGGAACTAATTTTTGGCTTTGAGTTGCCTTTTTTAAAATCAAATAATTTCTCGATGTAATGTTTTGGCACCATAACATGCCCTAATTTTGAAAAAACTCTACCTTACATGGCTGAATATGGAGGTATTCCCATACATTTACGTCCTTGTGACAGCAGTGCTTGTTAATAAGAAGGAAATACATATTAAGCATTGATTAAATTGTATGCTCCATTCATTTAATGTTACTACATTAACTGGTCTGGGCACACAAAACAACATTAATAAACAATACCTTAACCTTGCAATCTCGCGCATGATCTCACGATTCTTGGCTTCAAGCTGGCTAATGAGTTCTCTTTGTGCACGTGAAGTGTCCAAACTCAAACTTCCTTCAGATGGAGCCCGTCCCTGCAGAAGCACAGTAAAATTTTAAGATTAACAAAAGACTGTATCAGGATCAATAACTATTTTTATACTTAAGAAATAAATACGTCAAAGTATAAAATTGTTGTTAATCAGTCTTATGTTGGTATGAAATCAGGTTTGTTCCTACATGAACAAATAATCTGATGACCCAGGATTTCTTTAGTTTTTTTCTTTTTAGCCATTATAATTTGAAGGGCTAAACCCAGTTTGCCCTTCCAACATTTCTTATTCCTTAGCAATGAGACTGAAGACTTTGTTGATTCAATTCAGATAAGTGCGATTCAGTAATAAAATGGAATTCTCAGATAAATAGTATAAAACATTGCTGAACAATAACTGAACTCTCATCATACTAGAGATTTATACAAAATGTGCTTGCACTTGCAGATTTAATATGAATTCAAATTCAGAAAGTTTTAGATAAATATGTTTACAAAAATCATTTCATCATTGTTACAAATTTAAATATTATTGACAGCATTAATTGATGTAGAACAAAATTTCATTTCAATCAATGTTAAATATCAAAATAGGACACACAATGACAAGACCAAATTCCAAACATATACAATCACATAACTTTGCAACATAAAATTATACATACTACGTGCGCCATCGGAACTGCCCTTTGTGCATTTGGTTGAGGCTAAAATCAAAAAAGACAGAAAAGCATAAAGAAACTAAGCAGTTGACTATAATATTAATCACTACTAGACCAGGCATTAATGTGAACTTCATTTAATTTTTTTTGGAAGAAAATTTTGACCTCAACAATGCTTTAATTTTTAATCAAATATTTAAAGGAACATTTCTTTGGTGTTTATTCAGAACATGATAACTCCAAAATCACAATCAGATGCAACTCTGGTCATTCCACACCATTACATTTTTACAAGTATTGGAAACTAAACTGCCAAGTTTACAAGGAAACAGAATTGCCAAGTTAGTTTCCAATATGTTTAAAAATGCAATGGTGTGGAGTACCCACAGTTGAGTCTGAATGTAATTTTCAAGTTATCGTGTTGGGACCAAACACCATGAACATTAATTCAATGCTATTTTAACAAAATCTACATGATAGGGAATATCTTCAGAACAACATTCAAGTACTTCCCAATTCTTGACCACTAAGTCTTAGTACAACTTGTAACTTAATTTCTCTGCACCAAAAGAAGCAGTTTGGATCAATTTCACTTCAATGCCTCGCCAAAATTAACAGCAGGTTTGTCAAACATATTTTTTCAGCACATAGACAAACCACAATATAAGCACAATATAATATGCATTCAATATACAATACTTGACTGAACAAAAAGTATCTTATTCTGTTAAAAAATGAATGTCAAATATCAAAAAATACCATAATAAATTTGCAAATGAAATACTAGTTGAATCATGTCATTTCAAAGCATTTACAAAGGCAAGAAAATAAAATTTCATCTTTGAAACACATTTTCTCACGTACTGGCCATTTCTAATTATTCATCACACTATACAGCTGCAATAAACCACTGTAACAATAACATACTCTTTAGAGACACCAAAGTTAAACAGTACACAAAAACTTGTATCTAACTATGTAAAAGTAATGACTGCTTTTATCTACAATTAAGCAATAAATATTTTAGATAAGCAACATTTAGGCTGTACCTCTTTTTTTCAAGGGTTTGACTTGTCAGGCTCCAATGCACTACAATTTTCATGCTGAGTTTTCAATGCTTCACTCATTTAATACAAATAACTTGGCAGCACAAGACAATATTTTTGAATATACACTAACTCTACCACCGTAAAACTCAGAAATTCTTTTCATTGCTTACCATAAAATGAATTTCTATAAGTTCTAGTGCTTCTATAACAAATCAAATTTAACTTTTCATTAAAGCCACTATGGAGCAACATTTGTCACATCATTTAACATTATTATCCCACTACCATTATTAATAAAGTTTAGAACATGCCACCCATTCACATGACTTTGCTTGTGCCTCTCACCACAGATCGAGCCTCTGCTGCTAGCCGCGCAGCATACCGTGCAATGAGCTTGTGTTCATCATCTAGTCGGGTTGACTCCAAGCTTGATGTGTATTTGCCAGGGCTGCTGGAACACATTCCACTGCAAACACACACTCAACATATTCATACAATGAAATTGAAAGTAACGTATGTAAAATTCCTAAAGCACTAACTTCACAAGATACACTCATAGAACAAATTATGTAAGATATGTAATATGTCACAATATTCAACTACATGATTTAATCCTATGTTAAGAGCCTGAAGATGTGTATATCATAACTATGGGAATTTTTACCTTCGACCAGTTGATCGACTGTCCATTGATCCTCCATCAAACGGAGAAGCCACATTGCTCTCTGGGAAGCCATTGTGGGAAGGCAAAGGAGATGGAGGGCTGCGTAAAGTGAAATGCATAATCCATAAGCAAAACATTTTATGTCAACATAATTCAAACAAAAGTATAACTGTAAATTAATGTAATATGTCCATCACAATGTCAACAACTTACACAATATGTGAGAGGTTAAGTGTTTTCTCTGGTTCTTCAGGAAAACGAGGAATATTAGGCTTCCCTTTCTCAGGTACACAACGAAAGGATTTTCTTAATGAATGACCTATTTGTTTGCTAGGTGATTTCTGAAATAAATAATAGCATCTAACTATCTTTTAATTACAGTCATATATGTTTTGCAAATTACATATGTTGCCACTTACATACGTAGTATATTCCTTGACTTCATGTTCATTTGTGTGTGGACCTGATATGCGTCCTCGCCAAAAACAATCTTGGCACAGCTGGTAGTTGTGACATTTTTGACATCGGTAGCGAAAGCCAGAAAAGCCTTCTCTTTGACAGGCATCACATGCAGTTGGATGAACCACTGAATGAAATGTTCATTTTATCAATTTTTATTTCATCATCCAATTGTAATACAGAACTTCAATTTTAGTTTCAAAGCTTTGTGATGAAAACCCTTTAACAAACTATGATGTACCGTATTTATATGAATGTAAGTTAACTCTGATTATAAGACAATCCCCTAATTTTGAAGAGGCCACCTAAGAACTTTTAAAAATTATCAACTAAATATTACTACAAAGTCACAATAAAAGAGAAATTTGCCTTAATGACTAAAAAATTCCTTTTATGAGAATGTGAAGAACCATCATTTTCTTGAGAGCGTAGGCTTCCGCGGCCGGAGTCGGTAGCTTCTTGGCTGACCGGGATATGTCGCGTCCTAGGCGGAGGAACCCACGTTTCGGCCGCCATTCTGTGACCTTCCTCAGGGCGAAATGCATTTCTGCCTAGGACGCGGCGTCTCCCGTACAGCCACGAAGCAACTATAATTTTTTTTGTTCCTTAAAATCATCATAATAATTATTTTTGTCACTTCTCTCCTTTCGTTTGGTCCTCATTCCATGCTGCGACATCTCACTTTTTGGCCCCTCTGAAAATTTTGCGTGTTGAATTTATGTAGTTAGTCTTTCATCAGAAATTCCTAAGAACATCCCCATCCGTGTCATCAGATTTTCTATCTGTCCTCCACTAGTTGATGGCCTCCGCTTCTTTAACGGTTCTTTCACATTCTTTAAGAGAATAAACTTGAAATTAGCATAGTTTACTGTTCTCGTGCCGATCCGGTGGCCGAGATCGCTAAGGCAGTAGTGCCGTAGCGATCTCGGACCGAAGGATCGCGGGTTCCGAGTCCCGCCTCGGGCATGGTTGTGTTGTGTTCGTCCTTTCACCCCCTATTATCATCACCATTTCGGGGAAGGCAACGGGAAACCACCCTGAATAATTCATCATCCCAAGAAAACCCACTATGGGTCACCTAACTGCCGTATATGGTAGATAGGACTGTTATCGTGATCGAGTAGTGAACTGCCAACTCGCACATCTCTGTCCCTCCGTTTGCGAGTAAAGTGGACTCCACCGGCAAGTTTCGAATTGGGGACGTTTTTGCTTTTGGTCATCCTATTCTGTGGTTGGATGTAAAATGCGTACGTCTATCAATGTGATTTTTTTCATTTCTGTCTCTTGGAAAACGCAGATTCGCACTCGCCGGGCGTCGAACCGAGATTCTACGGGGTATCGACGAACCCGCATCGTGTAACAAAATCACGGCGTTCATTTTCACGTTACGTTTCACTTGATACAATGCCTTTCCTTTGAGATTCTCTTTACAGAATCATTCAAAGATACCGGTCTCAATTGCCCGGCTAATTTGCGGTGGATGCTGAGAATATGATCGCGAATATAATTACGTAGGTATTGTAGATAAACCCCACGCGCGATATATTTACCGTCTCCGCAGCTTATTGTTACGTCAACATTACGAGTTTCGTGAGATGGCAAAACAAAGTAAAGACATAAACCCTAACCGACTAGGCTTCCCAATTACCCTAGGTAAATGTAAGACCATCCCGCATTTTTCGACTGTGATATTTACGGAAAACCTCGTCTTACATTCGGGTAAATACGGTACATATTCATTAAATTATATGTTAATGAAACACAGGAACAGAAATGTGAATAATGGTAGAACAGTTTCTGAAACACGTTATTTTCCATTTTTCTTCTCATCTCATTGATGTGACGAAATGTATATACTGTAAAGCACCAACGCATTCGCAGAGTAAACTGATAAAGTACCTGATAACCTGAACAACGGCAGTAACAATGTGCAGATGTTCAAGATGCCAAAAAGCTTTTTACAAAATTTGATATAATTTAAATTTTTAATTAATCTATGTAGTAACTCACAGTATCTAACAAGTAAACAATAAAGGAGATCAGCCTACCTGTCTCTACGCTGGCAAGACGATGAAGAAGAGGTAGCCACACCAGACAATGAGGCCCAGGATCAGACATCATTGTATCCATGAAATCATTTACAGTAACCTTCCCTCCCTGTAAAAGTTAATTACAACAATCAGATACCAATTAGTTCAGAATTTAAAAAATGACCTAATTGCTCTTGGCTTTAAAAAAAATTGTTGCTCCTTTGCAATACACCCCAAAGTCCTTTCTGGAGAATTGAGTGCATAGAGTAATCTTTCTTTAATTTAGTCAGTCATCAGTGATTTTCAGTTATTGGCTTTTATCCCTTCGGCCATAGGCTCAGTGCCGGTAGATCCCAGGATTCCCAGACAGTCGCCCGACCAGGAACCCGCAAAGTCTCGAATTACTTAACTTCCGTAACGCGCAGTCAAGGAATTTCGTAAGCAGGATGATGCCAACTAGTAAACAAGAACTATTAATGAGAAACGTTTTGACTGTTGCAGTAAACTAGGTACATGGCTTCAACCAAGAAAGCGAAGTATTGACATACTTTTGTAAGTGCTTGAAGATTATGTACATGATTTCTTGTTGTTATTACTTACATTGTTTAATTTGAATGTCATTAACTCTTGTTATGTAGTAAATTCGCTTTATATAGTAATTTCTCAAAAATTCAAAACTGGGTGACCAATTCTGTACGTTTACAGCTTTTCATTAGGAACAATTTTTTTCTAAAAATCGAATTTTTACTTTCTGATTTAATTTTTAATAAATACTACTTTAATAATATTCTTATTAGAATAATAATCAAAAGTGACTATTTTTTAAATTATTACATACGAGAGAAAGATAACTAAAACAGGATTGTCACCAATAAAACCACCCAGACGATGTCCTCTGTAGCAGCACTGACTCACAGAAACATCCTAAACGAACAGAAGCTGCCACTGTAGTGCTTCACACTACATTGAATCCAGTACATCTAAGTCCCTGTGTAAAAAGTTTAGCTTCACAGTGGGTTTTACAGCTTTGCAGCGGCGTAAATTTAAAATATAATGAATAAATACACCAACCAAAAAAATCGCATTCACTACAGTATGAGTACTTATTACAAAATGTTCAACGCCAATCGTTTTTGTACTGCCTGCTGTATGTAATAAATAAATAAATACATAAACAAATAAATAAAAGCAATTGTGTATAATTTTACTCTGAAGGTATATTCAAGTTCACACAAGATATCTGTGCACTCAATGACCGTTAAAGTGCAAGCTGGAGCTCACATTTCAACAATGGACGAGGGCACTAGTACCTCGCGTAAATTCTACTAAACCTACCCCAGAGAAGATGGTGGTAGCAAGACCCTCTGTATAATTAAAAGAGGGAGACTCATAAACCGCTGCAGGAAGTGCCAACACTTCCTGTAGATATTCGGCAAAGCGCCACACAACCATATGTCCATTGGCATCAGAGATCTGTGAGAATATATCTGTAAAATAGAACAATTCATCATCACATTCTTTCCTCTATTTCTATTGTTTTATTTTACTTTGGTCTAGATTCTTATATTTTATATCTTCATATTTCATATTCTTATGTTTTCTAATACTTTTGACCACAATATTCACACCTAAAGAACTCGATTTAAAGTGACTCTGAGACCTGACTCAACCTCTCCAGTTGGTGAGAACACTGACTAACAAACAGCACTACAGCAATATAATTAAATTTCATTTTTTAAAGAGACTATAGGTTTCCGTTACGGGATGTGCACGCGCCTCCACGCACGCAATCACAATGCCTCAGTCCCAATTGGAGAAGATGAGATGAAACGGAAATGCCCTTGGGCTTGGTCTTGGACAGGGCCAAGGCGTGGACGTGGGAGTGGTCGTGGGAGTGGTCGTGGGAATGGTCGTCGGCGAGAGATGGGCAAGGGCAAGGGCAAGGGCAAGGGCAAGGGCAAGGGCAAGGGCGAGGGCGAGGGCGAGGGCGAGGGCGAGGGCGATGGCGGGGGCGAGGG